TAAAGTGAGGCTCCTCAGTTCTGTTTTATAGAAATAGTTTATAGAATAGTTTTATAGAATAGTTTAATGAAATACTCTAGAGGTGTGTGACTGGAGAGTGGGAGTGCTCTGAGGTAATGCCCTCTTATCTAGGGCAAGACTTGTAGAATCGTGGGATTCCTCACGTGTGAGGGTGTTGCCTTGTTTTAATGAGGTTTCTTGCTAACTACCTCAAGAGCAGCTTTATTGCCAGTTAATGAGGCAAAAGCATTGGATAAACTGCCCCCTTTGACAATTACAGATGACTTAACTTTCTAAATGTATACGACTTGAACTTTCTAACTGTATACTAATGTTTGACCAATTTATGAGTCTTAAAGCTGAGATTCATTTCTCTCCAGTCCATAGTAGTAAACATAAGGGGAGTTTAAATTTTGGGGATTGTAAATATATATTAATAGACGGAGTAGAAGAAGTTGAACACTATTTCTAGAAGACTTTAAATGGTAAAAAAGACTTTATCTTGGTTAAGACCGTTGCTACTGTTGACTCAGGTACAAAGCACACCTGAAAGTAAAGCGAACTCTTGCGGTTTCATTAATCCCTTTGCCTTTCAGTTTGCAGTTCGATCCGGCGCCGCGTAGAGGTGAACCGCATGTTACTCGTCGCACCCCAGACTACTTCCTGTAAAGAGATTTTAGACCTGTACAGTATTGCCATGAACCGTATGTTGACCTAAAGAAAATGGGAAGAGCAACAGTAACTCCAAAGTGTCAGAAAATATTTAACATTCAAACTTGTTTTCACATGGACCAAAAGACGTGCCATATTCAAATACAAAGCCTCTTGTCGTCAACAACTGTGACCACTTTAGAATGAACCAGTTCATTGCATGCTGAAGCAACATTGTTGGTCAAGAAACCAGTTTCTGGCATAGCGCTATTTGTAGTTACTTTTGCTTTCTCTGAGAGACTGCAAATAATAAGATGTAGACATTAACACCTCGTGAATACATTTAACTTTCCATTTAGCTATAGCTTTATTCAGCATGACTGTAGATAAGGGTAGCAGCAAACAATCATTGAAGCTTAAAGAACATTTTTAAAATAAGTACCAAGGCCTCATTTGTTCTGAAACTGTTTGTTTGTTTTATTTTCAGGGAATACTGTTTAATTTAATTGTATTGATTTTTTTTTTTTTTTTTCTGCACTCAGTTCCCTCTTCCACTCTTTGCCCTACCATATTGTCCCTTGTAATTGTCCAAGGATAGTGAATTACTTTGAACAGAACTGTTTTTTTCTGTAAAACAATGTTACTGCAGGACAGAGCTGCAGTGTTTTTCATAATAAACTTGTGAACTAAGTATGGAAAAACGTCAAATCCTAATTGCATCTCAGGTCAACTGTGGCTTAATAAACTTGACGCGTAGCTGGATGGGGTTTAGAAACTCACCTAGAAATTTCCACCTTAAATAACTAAAACGGAGGTGATTTGGAGTGTGCTGGAAAACTCTGACCTTTTGAATTGTGTCCCAGGGAGGTGCCTGGTCCTTGATGTCACCAGCTGAGAACAGATCTCCCTTGTTACTGACGTGTTGTGCTCTTTCCCTCTCGGTGCTCTACTGAAATAGTCAGAAATGGAAGAATATAGGATAACTCAATGGATTGAGCGTGGCTTTTTTCCAAGTGTAAATCTAAATCTGAGTTACGGAAAATGTAGGTGCTAATACTTCAAATCATTTTCTGGAAAACTAAGAATAAAACCAGTTTTCTAAATATTAAAGGAAATAACTTGAAATTTAGTACTATGTGTATTGCCCAAGCTTCCATTCTGAAAAACTAGTGGTATGGGGTTTATGTTAACTTCCCTTACAATATTTCCTTTCTACTAATTTGTTTCAGAAATTCAAATTTTATGCCTTCTTAAGGCTTGTGCTTGAAACTTCCTTGGCTTATCTTAAAAAGATGTACCTGGCTGTTGTTTTAATAGAGAAGACTTTTAACATTTATATTGTTTGAGACACGTTAAATTCCTTGGGCACAATGTAAATTTTGCAACACCATAGAAGATTTTTGTTTATTTATTTTTTTTAAACTGATTGCTTTTAAGAAAACTACAGATATTTTACAGATGTCCCAGCTTACCTGGAGGTCTGGTCCTGGACACGCTTTTTGGGGGCTTTCTTGCTTTTCTTCTGGAGGGCAGCTTCATTCTCTGAGTTGCCATGAAGGTGCTGCATTTCCCCAGGCGTTACTTCATCCCTTTCATAAAAGGCTTGGGTGGTTGCTTTTTATTTTTTCCCTTGAGCAAAATTCAGATTTTTGGTCTCCTGTAGGTTGGATTCCAAATGGTTTCTGGGGAGCGCTCAGTCTCCTGCAGTTTGATCTCCTATAGGAAGAAGTACTTGCTAAAAATAAGTGCATCTGAAGTGTCTTTTTTTAGCATCTTGGGAACTTTTACTTTGATCACTATTAAAAAAAAAAAACACACCCTTTGCTGTAGAGAGAACTTCACTTTCATTTCCTTTCGCTTGCCATTCTCTGTAAATGTTTTTGCAGCTAGAACTTTGTGCCATAATTGACACCATTCCTTCAAGGGTAATGACTTTGCCCTATTTTCGGTTTTCCCTGGTACTTTAATTGCCGTGACTCATCTCCTGCTCTGGGGGGGAGCAGTCGCTTCATTTGTTCAGTTTCTGTAAGCAAACACAAGCAGTTATTAGTAAAATCAATGGAAAAATGTGAAAAGTCACTCCACTTCTTGCACTTCCCCCATAATTGCTCTATGACTGCCCGTTTGAAGAATTCGTTGAGATTATCACACTGCAAACAGAAAAACATTAACTCTGGAGACTGGCCACCAGCAGTGTTAAATAGCAAAAAAACATGTTTGGAAGACTCAAGAGGAGAAGGAAATTTCAAGTAGAAAAAACTCCTGTTTGATTTATTTAACTGATAAATAATCAGTTTTTAAATTATCACTGATGGATTAAAGTTCACCTAAGCAAAAGCTGCTTGTGGAGAAGTGAGCATAATTAGGGTTTGCACTCATTTCAAAGACCAGTGTTGATGTTTCCTCCTTCACTACACAGACCGGTGAATTCCATGAAATGTGAAATCCCTGGAAATCCCATATTGTGGTAGTTCAGTATTTTTAAAAGCGGGATAGTTAAACCCAGGCTGACATCAAGGTTTGCCTTGTTGGAAGGCAGCTGTCAAGGAAACTCAGCACTTTTCTACAAACTACAAACTTCTCGAAGAACTTCCTCTTTTTTGTTCTATTTCTCAGAATTTGGATAGAGTCAGTGGACTCTTGTTGTGGGACAGATTGGGGAGAGTTTTGAGCTTTCCATATTGCATTTTACTTAAGTGACACTTACTGGTGTCCTGTCATTTGGCCGTTTGTCTGAATTTGTGGATCAGACTGAAGTGAACACCCTTTGTGGTCCTGAACTAAAGGATTATTAAGTCCAAAAGAAAAGACAAAATCACACTTCTTCGCAGGAAAATGTTCAATAACGTCACTTTTTAAACAAAAATGGGATGGATGTAAAGTGTATAGATTGTCAGGTGTTTTCCTCTTCATGCTCTTCTCCATTTCATTTTCAGAAAGTAATTGTTCATTAAGAGCCTGGGACAAAGTCTTTGGCAATTTAGAAATTCAGCCTGAATGTTGAAGGCAAAGGATTTCCTCCTTTCCTACAAACCCACAACTCTAACCCAGGTACTAAGTTTATTTGGGGCCTTTTTTCATAGTTCAATAGCCACGTTTCTCTGTTTTTCTCCCTTTTACCCCTTCATTTTTTTGGTAACTCTGGACGCAGCTCCCTCTGTGCTGTGCCCTGAGGAACAGGAGGGGCTGAAGGCTAAATGCACTTGTTCATTCTGGAAAAATGGTCTGTAAGAAGAGGTGAATGTCATCAAATCACAATTTTGAATTTCAAATGAAATGCTGCTCCAAATTCAGTTAATTGAAGGTGTGGCTCCGCTCTCGTCACCTCCTTCACGCGCTGTTCATCACTCACTCTTTAACTAATTGCATTTGTGTGCTGAGCGCTCGGGGAAACTCAAGCCATGTTTTAGGGGGTTTAGTGTAGGTTAAAGCAAAGTTTTACCCAAGAGAAATGGCTTTTTAGTCATGTGCATGGGTCTTGAAGTCCCGTGGAATGTGTAGGGTGCCTTCTGTGTGCTACAGCCATCGCTCCGTGGAGTATCGTTCTCTGTGAGTTCCAGGAGGAGGTTGGAAACAGGCAAAACGTTAAGTAAAAAATCACCCTGGAGTGTAGAAATCCTGCAGTCCCTGTGCATACGCTAAGAAAGCCCCGCAGAGTCCCTGAGTCAGCCTCCTGTGGTTTTTTTTAGAAGTTATTTCGGTGCTGTAACTTGTTTGGCTGTGCTGCTTCTGGATGAGAATAAAGGCGAGCTGCTCTCTTGAGCAAGGGACTGGAGTTCTCTGGCACATCCACAAAAATAAAAAAGGCTGAAACAGCACTTTTTGGTTTTGAATTAAGCGGTGCTGCGTGTTTTAGCCTTTTAAAACCTGTGCTGTGGCTTAAAAGCTTTGAGATGGGTTGAACTACAGCTCCTGATCTCTTAATTACTCTGTGATGAATAGAACTGCTTTTGGATGAAGATTAACTGATTGCTGCTGGTGTATAAAACATTAATCACTAATAATACCTAAATATTCTATAATTAGTCTTAATTTGGGAAACGTATAAAACCTGGTTGGCCATAGTAGTTTTTAGAATAGGAGGGCACTGTAGTGCTGGAATGGGTTCACCAGCCAGGCTGCGGAGTATCTGGCCTGGGGATTTTTCAGGACTGGGCTAGGAAAAGCTGGAGCTGGGCCAGCACCGCTTTGGGGAGAGCTGAGTCCTTCCAGCTGATGTTTTTGTGTTTAAAA